ATGCACTGAGCACGTTGCAGCGCTGGGGAAGGAAATCGGGCATTTGTCAGACTGAACAACTTCGTGACAGTTTCTGGAACATGTTTCTGAGGGATGTGGGATGGGATCGTGTCTGATCTGGTGTCAGGTATCAGAAATCCCTCATATCCGAGAGATCTGATTGAAAACAAGTTCCATCTGGGGCTGGGTCGTGCTTACCCTTCTCTCTGCTGCAGTGAATCTCCCTCACACAGCTGCAAGTGGGGATAAGTCTCTTGCTACTCTTAAATTTTAAAGGAAAATCTCTTTCAAAGCTGTGCTGTGCTGGCAGCCTCGTGGCTCAGCAGAGCTCAGCTGCTCTCTGGCCCCACTGCATGGGCTCCAGAGCCTCCCCCAGCAGATCGGGTGTTTGATAACGTTTATTTTAATAAAGCTCTGGTCCTGTTTTGATGGACAGATCCAAAGCACTACATGGATTTAAACAGATCCCGTTGCAAATATCTCTATCCGATACCCCTGCCATGACCGGACTGCAAATGTCACTTGCTTAGCACTATCAAATATTTAATTTACGTTGTAATACAGGAGCCTGTGAGAGCTCCAGCTTAAATTGGAGGTCTCCTGTGAGCCAGCAGCTCTCCACAAGCTCACTTAAAGGCCAGTTTCTGCCCCGAAAAAGTCCTGATCCAGATGCAGAAGTGAGGGGAGCTGGGAGGGAAGACTCTGCCCACCTCTGCTGTGGGTCTTGCTGGGATCCCACTCGTCACTGTAAGTGCTCGTGGTGGGTGTCCCCACCTTTGCCCTCCAGGGAACACGTGGGTGGGGGAATGTGACCGCTGCTGCCGCCACCGCAGTGCTCATGGCGATGCTTGTGGCCTCACACCTTCAGTGGCACCACTGCTAGCCCAGCTGTCGGTGTCTGTGGTGGGGGTGGCAGCTCCCCAGGAGCTGGCCTGGATCTCATTCTGGATCCTGCACTTGTGGAAAATCATCTTCTCTGGGAACTTCCCCATGGCAGCTTCAGCAAGCCGTGAGGGAGGCACGAGGTGCTGCCGGGGCTCGGAGCCTCCCCGTGCATCACCCAGTTCTCTGTATTTTAATTCCCAAGAGAATGTAGTGTCTCTGTGAGACGTGGCTCTGTGCTGGCCACAGGAACCCTGAAGGATGCTGTGATCTTGCCAGCCCTGTGCCAGGTTCTCCTCCGCTGGCAGCACGCGGAGTGGCTGGGGGAGCAGCATCCGATCAGGGTGATGAATCAGGGAGCCTCCGTCCTTCCTCTCCCACTGCTCCTGCACTGTGCTCACACCTACAGCTGAACCCCGGGATGGAATGCCACATTCCCAACCTCTGTTTGCTTTGCTGTTTTCTCTGCTGGTGTGAGAGCTGGTGGCATTGTCCAGGTTTTGCTTCCCAGAGAGGATGGGCACTTTCCCTGCCCCGCTGCAGAGGAGCAACCTTGTTCCCTCCACGGCATCTCCTTCAGCTGGGTTTCAGCTGTCCTCACTGCCCGGGAACAGGGCTGGGATCTGCTGATTCAGGGGACACTCAGCCCTGCGGCGTTAATGATCTTGATGTGCAAAGGAGAGGACAGACGCAGTGGCACCGTGCTCCGTGCGATGCTCCCTGCCCTCCCGGGATGCTGCACAGTGTCCCGCTGCCCTTCAGCGCGTGGGAGCAGCGCTGGGGGGAACCCTGGGGAGCATCTGAAGGTAAGAGCCAACTGGGACATTTGGGGTGTGGGTCATCTGAGTCCCCTGTGTGCCCTGGTCCCTGTGCCAGGAGCCAGCCTGCAGCCTGGAGCCTTGGGGGAGAGATGGCTCCCACTGATCCTTGCTCTGGCATCGGATGGTTTATGGACTTATCCTAAAATGTGCCTTGCTCCAGCTCTGGGCCCAACCTTCGAGGTGCCCTGGGAAGCTGCCCCATTCCCCTGTCTCCCCCATCACCGAGAGCTGCTGTCAGGTGCATCCTCCTGCTCTTGGCTCAAGCTGGCTCCTCCAGTGCCACCTCCTGCCAGCTGGCACCCACTGCCCCGCGTGACGCTCCAGGCTCTTTGGGAACTTGCTGAGCCTCAGGCACCAGCTCGGACGTGCCCGGCTCTCGTCCGGAGGCTGCTGATGAGGGCTGATTTAGTGGCGATCGAACCGCATTTGAAGTGCTTCTTGAAATATGAGACAAGTGTCGGGAACTCTCCGGGCGTAGGGGCGGCTGCGGTGCCCTGACGGCTGTGGCACACAGGCAGGAGCCGGCTCGGCTCAGCAGTGCCAAGGGCAGGGCTCGGTGCTCCCTTCACAGGCACCAGGTAGGAGCCTCCCGCGCCGGGCTGGGGCACCGGGTGCTGCCTCTTGAGCGTCGCTGTGTCCTGAGCCCAAATGGGTGGGTGGGCTAGAAATCGCTTCTGCCAGCAGACAGGAGTCTGTGCGGAGGTAGGATGGGTGGAGCTGCCCCCCTCGGGGGTCTGGGGCTCCCCAGGGGCTCTGGAGGGGGGGCACAGCCAGGGGCCCTGGTGCAAACACCCAGGGCAATCATGGGGTCACGGAGCTGCTCAGTGGTGCAAACCTGAGGTGGTGGGACCATGAAATCGGTCCTTACTCGGGGGGATTGAGGGAATTTTGTGACAGTTGTTGGTGGCCACTTTCACACCAATTTTTCTACTCCCACTGCTTTTATTTACTGTTGTGTGCGCTCAGCTGGGAACGAGGAAGGTGGATTCAATGGTGCGGAATCGTGTGAACTCGAATCAGATTTTTTTTTTTCAGATTTCTTGCTCTCTTAGCAAGTTCATGCAGACTTTCTCTTCGGGTGGTGTTTTCCCTGCTCCTACATTGCTGAATGGACTGATCTCCTGATCAGCTGTTGTGATATCCCCTCAGCTCCGTGGCGAAGGCAGTTTGACTCAGAGGGAGGTTCTGGTCCCATGTGTTGGCTTCACTGAGTTCAGGCCCAACAAAAGTCCCATGGGACACAAACTGGTGCTGATGGCAGGAGGGAGCCTGAGGGTCCCTACCGGGGGGGCGTCACCGGGGTGGTGTCACCTAACCTTCACTGTGTTTTAGTTTCCCTCCTGTCAAAGGTAACAGTCCCCCAGAAAGATCCTCAGTGCTTTGCTGAAAAGGGAAAATCTGCCCCAAAGTAATCATCAGTCAGGACACCGCCGGCACATGTGCCATGACCTGTCCCGTGACCCGTCCCAGCCACGAGTGACCCGGTTTGTGGCCCTGACACCTGAGAAGCAGAACAGGCGCAGCAGAAATTAAGTGAATGAGACAACAAGCGTGTGTGTAATTAGGACAGACCTTCAAACGCTGCCCCGGGAGCCGGGACAGAAGTCACCGGCTAATCAGAGCAACAGCAGCGCCTGTTTTAAAGACGAGGCAGACTTTAAGGATACTTTGTCCACATAATGTTCCAATTTTAGCTCTGCGTCCCGGGATGTGATTGCATTAAAAATACCCGGGGAGGGGGAGGATGCCAAGGGCACCCAGCGACCTGCCTCCTCTGGCGTGTCCCCACCAGTGCGCCGTTCCCGCTGCGTTCCGAAGCCCTGTCTCACATTCCTGGCGCTGATCATCATCCAGATCTGCTTTCCGGCTGTTCTGCTAATGGTTATCCCGGGAAAGGCCTCCGGCTCCGTTAACAGCTCGTGGGAAGACCTCCCACTCCTTTTGCCTAAACAGGACTATTGATGGAGACGCTCGTGGCCACCTCCGGGGTGCGGGAAGGCGCAGGATGGGACCGAGACCCGCCGAGGACTGGGGTGCTCACCCCAAGGGGGGGTGGGTGGCAGCGCACCCCCGCTCCGGGAGGGGGTGACCCGCTGC